AGCGTGAGGAGGAAGGGTGAGGAGGGAGGGTGAGGAGGAAGGGTGAGGAGGAAGGGTGAGGAGGGAGCGGAGCGGTTCCTGTGGGCTGTCAGTCCCGGCCTCTCTGTCCCCTTCCCCAACCACGGGCCCGCCGCCATCGCTCCCGGGCCTCCCCAGCAGCCGCCACCAGCCAGGGGAGCTGTGGTTCTTTTCAGTGAATATATTGCGGTATTTATACTTTTTAGTAAATGCCTTGGGGTGACTGCGGGAGCTGGGCCTGTTTAGTCTGGAGAAGAGAGGGCTGAGAGATCTCATCAATCCATATAAATATATCGCAGGCAGGTGTCAGAGGATGGTGCCAGACTCTTCAGTGGTGCCCAGGATGAGGAGCAATGGCCGTAAAATGAAACACAAGGAGTTTCAACTCAACATGAGGAAGAATTTCTTTAGAGAAAGAGCTCTGGAACAGCTGCCCAGGCAGGGTGTGGAGTCTCCCTCTCTGGAGACATTCCAACCCCCCTGTTCTGTGTCACTGCTCTGGGTGACCCTGCCTGGGCAGGGGGTTGGACTGGGTGATCTCCAGAGGTCACTCCAACCCTGAATATCCTGTGTTTCTGCAATTAGAGTGGAACACCACCAAATGCCCAGCCTACAGATGTGGGAGGTTTACTTTAAAGCAGTTTAATGGCAGTGGAAAGGATGATAGTAGCCAGTTTTGAATATTTTCAGTAAAAATGTAAAAATATCACGAAGAAAATACATAAGGAAAAGAAAGAAAGGGAAAGAATGGGTAAGAGTAGATAGTGGAAACATAATACCACCTTTGGATCTAGTGGTGACACTTGAGTGTTGTCATTTTGATGTTCCTTGCTTATAGAGATGGTCACAGTCTCCATCCTTTGGGAATAGGGCCCCACAGAGCGAAATTTCCTCAGGTTATGTACATTCAGGTTAGCATTGGAACACCGAGATCCCTCCCCAGGAAGGGAATTCTTCACGTCTGATGCAAGACTGAGGCATGTACCTCCTGCTGAGGGAGACTTCCAAAAGGTGTCACGGCTGCTTTGGGGTCCTTGGTGGTCTCAATCCCCATCTCTTAGTCTTGCCTGCTCCATGGATAATCACTCACAGGTGTTAGTGTTGCAAAATGTGGAATATGTCAAAAGTAACTTAAGTCAGGATGTTCTTTGATGGTTCTATCTTTCTATTCTTCCTAATCAGCAAGGAAGGAGAATTAATCAGCAGTAGAGAGAGCAGTGTCCTTTAGTTATGGATATCCTGGAACTAACGAGCTTCAAGGATGCAGTAAATCAAGATATGAATGTGTGTCTCATACATAAGTTGCTGACTTGGCAAAAGACTCAGGTCCAGGTATCCTAAAACTGAACTATCTCCATTAGACCCTTCCCTGGAGGATGCACAGAAATCAGCTGGAATTACACAACTTGTGTGGAAATGATTAACCATTCATAAAAGAGGGGCTGTAGCTGAGAGGTTGCCAGCACTGAATTTCTGTGTGTAAGTAACATCAGGAGAAGTCTGGAGGGATGTGCTGTATTTGTGGAATACTGTGGTACCTCCAGGCTTGTGCAACTCTGAAATAAATAAATAATCAATGTCTCCCTCGAGTGTGTAATTGCACCCCAGGTAATGAATCTGATTTTTGCAGACAAAAGCAGCTTTGGTTAAAGCAGATGAAACAATCACTCCTCCAGACCAAAGACAACTCACAGCAGTGGAGAAGCTGATTTCTTTTTAAAACATGTATATTTAGAACTGTAACGCTTACAATTTCATTAAACAATCTTAGTACAATGTGTTTAATCTAACAGTATTTTACAGAACAATGTGAAAAATGATTTAATAGCAAACCATGAAAATGGAATTAATAATACCTGCAGTGTCAAAGTCACTAACTTGTTACCTTTTCCAGTCAAAGAATCCCAGCAGTCATTCGCACTAAATGATGCTTTGGGTTTTATCCAGAATCAAATGGTATGATTTCCACAGAGAAAGGGCATTCCTTCACAGAAAGAAGATGCATAATAAGAACATTTTCAGCTAGCAGGTCTACTTTATACATCTATTTAGAATTTTAAAATTAAAAATAAAATTAAAAATGTTTAGACCAGTGCAGGGTGCCTATTAATTTTTCAACTTATTTGTGGTTCTTTTTGAAAAGAGGGTTTGTTTTTTATTTCCCTTGTGTAATTTAGCAGAGGAAAAGAAAATAACAACAATGGATTTGTCTAATGAACAGCTCCTCACTTTAGTTTTGGTGACAAGCGTTTGACATGGGACTGTTTCCTCTGTGGAGTCTGTTGACAATGCATCATTATAGATCTGCAAGTAGAAAAGGTCATTCTCACATTAAATGCACAAGTTTCAATATCAGAAGCAGGACATCAGAAGAAGTTGTAATTTTTCCAGTCACAGGTGAATTTGCAACATTCACAAAAATTACACTTTTTTTTTTTTTACATTTTTTGTATTTACATTTCAGATATAAATAATGAAATTCTTTAAGTTACATGTTTTAACTTTGCTTCACGATTATTCTACATCTGCAAGCTTTCCTGTATCAAACCAACCTCCTTCTTTCATCATGAATGCACAAGTCTGGCCTCTAATCAGTAATAATTACATTAAGCCTTTATGATGAAAGGTTGACTGTTCAAGTATCACATCATATTGATATTTTTGCCCCAACTTAAAAATTGGGGCAGCAAACCAAGCCACTTGGAAATGGTAATAAAAGAAATTAATCTGGGAACTCAATGAGCCAAATAATTTATTATTAAATTCTATCAATATCTTTCTTTGGTAAGAAATATGCAAGAGGATAACCCAAAGCCCACCCCCAAAAAAAAAAAAATCATATAATATGTGACATCACAGTGTCTACTCTGTGAAGGAGAAAGCCTCAGAAAATTAAGGAATTTTGTTCAGTTAAGATTGTTTATAGCAGTAGCTCTTCCATGCATCTAAATATGCAAATGATGGAAGTTTAATATAAAATTGCAATGGCAGGAATTAACAATGATCAAACAAACAAACAAAATAAAACCAAACCAGAAAAGCAACTGTTACACCAGCATGTGTTGTTGTATGCTCTGTTATGTTTCTGGCACATGTGTAGAAAAGCCTGTAAATTATTACATAAAAATTCAAGATTTGGATAATTATATCATCCAACTCTACATTCTAAAATATGTAGGAAGCATGAAACAAATCTCTCAGCTGCCTGACAAAAATAAAGAAGTGGTCCAAAGATTTGGATTTTTTGCTTTTTGTTGCCCTGTGTTGGTTGTTGTGATGCAGGGATGTGACTGCAGGGAGAAAACCCAATAGCTGACACAAAACATACTAAAGTGGCAATATAAACTAGCTGACACAAGCCTCACTGTACATTTAAATTGATACAATTGTCTGGTGCTTCCATGGCCAGTACACGCCGAGTGCCACAGGTCTCCTTGGAGTTAATGTTGCAACAAAGACTGAGCAGGTCATTATCCCATAAAGTGCTTTCATATCCAGTTCCTAACGGGTTCCTGGTCTCCACTCCAAGCTGTCACGTGACATTGACCTCCAGAACGTGGTCATCCTTGCTGGGAATGACAAGGATTTGCATCCCTGTGCTGCTGTTGAAGACCTGGCCCGGGGAGAAAGGCTGGAGCCGGGGCATGGGCAGACCCTTGTGCTCCCCGCTGGCTGTGGAATGCAGGCTCCCCCTGCTCCTGATGCTGCTGCTGTCAGCCTGCTCATCCACATTCTTGTCCACGGACAGGTTATCGTTTTCAATCCAGCTATCTGTTTGCAAACAAAACAAAAAAAATTGTTTTATTCTACCAATTAACTCTAAAAAGTCATTTCAGAGCTCTGACAGTCAGCTTAACTCATGTTCACAGTTATTGATCATCTCTGTTGAGGTAAGTCTGTGCACACTTTTGGCCAGCACCAGAAGTAACAGAGTGAATTACACTGGTTTGAAAGGAAAATTTCAGTAGCATGACGTCACATCTGTCACAACCTAGAGGGATGCACACTGGCAGTTCCATTGACAAAAGCTGTGTTGCTCCTGTGAGTGAATTCTCACTGCAGCTCTGGGACTACTCATCAGTACACATAAATACTCTACCTAGCTGTGGTAATTTAAATTCTGCATCTAATCTAATGCCCAATTTTTCAGCAGTTCTTTTATTTCACATTCAATCCCTTGAAAACTGGGAAAAAATTTCTAAGCTAATGAAGACACACACAATTTAAAGAAAATGGAACTGCGGGATTAGAGCGGTTATCAAACAGTTTTCACTTGATTATTAAATCCAGTGACAACTGATTTGCATATTAATATTTAAAGGAAATGTAAGAAAACAATGCATTTATTACTCCTCCTCAGAGATTCAGGTGGCAGCCCAGACTGAAAGTTCCCATGAGAGCAAGTTTCAATTTAGGACTGTGAGTGAAGGTAGCAGAGGCACCTATGAGTACCTGGTCCATTTATGACCAAGTCCATCTATTGTCAGTGTATTTCTTGCTTTGCTTTTCTCTTTACACAAGAACACAGGAAAAGCAGAGTCATTTCTGTAAGTAGCCACGTGGTCAAAATGGCCTTACCAGCATCAAGCTGCATGGAGTGAGCAGAATGGTGAGGGAGGTATTTAAACAATCTGACATCAGGGAAAGGCAGGTACCCAGCAAACAGCGGCATCACTTCCATGTGGACTTTGTGAGTTGCTCGAGGTGCTACAGGCATAGAAATCACTCCAGAGCTTTTCCCACAGACTGCCCAGTTACTACTGTTGTCAACAACTGCAAGAATAAAGAGAAAACACTATGAAGATCTATTGTGAAAGATGGAGAACCCTCAGGACAGTTTTAGAGCACCTTGAAAATCTGCATTTTGGCAACATCTAAAAGCTTTTATGTGTGAAGAGCTGTGGAAGGTAAGAAAACAGCCCTACACTGAAGGGACCATAGTTGGGCCTCAAGCCTGTATCTATCCAGTCTGAAGAACATTTCTATTCCACTGGAAGGCAGATTAATGAGGAGAAAATAAAATATTCCCAGTCTAGCAAAATGAAAACTGCTTTACTAAGCAGCTGTACCCACAATAAAGGAATTTATGCCATAGCAAGTCTGGCAGATGTTATTGTCAAGAAAAAATTAGGGGGAAATTTATCAAAATGCTTAGGAAAAGTACTCTTACCTTCATACATAAGTTTTGTTGTGCAATATCCATCTGATTCTGTTAATGCTTCATCTCTGTCAACCTCAGAGAGCTCAACAAGCCGGGTGATGGACACCTCTAAGGAGCAGAGTGAGCCTGTTTTACAGTACTCTGCATCCAAGGGTGGGAAGATTTCAGTTTTCACATGGTACAATGTCTGTCAGGAAGAAAACTGTGCTGTTATCAAGAATAAGGGGTGTTTTATTTGTGTTTAAACTGAATTGGACAAAGGGTACAGTAACAACTTTACACAAAACAGACACAGCCTGTTAAATCTTCTTAATGCAAGAATCAGTAAGTAATGTTCACTTCATTATCTTGCTCAGTTTAAGTAAATCAAAGAACATGGGATCTTGGAATGCTGTGCAATACTAGCAACTTTAAAGATCACCTGGTTCCAACCCACCTGCCATGGGCAGGGACACCTTCCACTAGATCAAATCAAAATTTGATTCAATCTATTTCTGATACCAGCAGTGAAAATATATTTTTTCCTTCTGGACTTTAACATAGTGTTTCAATGCTCCTACTAAATGGAGCATTGAATCTTACCATTTAAACAATTTTTATCAGTTTCTAAGCTCTGCCCTTTAGAGACCCATCACTCAGATTCTGAGTAATAAAGAACTACTTCATCCCACTTTCCTGTCATAGTCTCTGGAATATCAGTGCCCACATCAAATAACTGATTTTTAATTCCTGCAAAATTCAATTTCTACCAGAAAACCCCCACTGTTTCACACAGACACTCGTCTTTAAAAACTCCAGAAAGATGCTGATAAAGGTGCCAAAAATGCTTGTTGCATGCCAGTAGGCAAACAAACACCTGAAATGTTGATCAATGCCAGTTTGCAACAAGCAGGTTGAAAACACTGAAAAGGATTTAAACAAAAGGATTTGAAAAACAAAGAGTATTCTCATGATGCTGCTTTTTACCCAAGCATAACAAAGGGTAACACTGAGTTTGGAGATTAGATTAAATAATGTTGATAAAACTGCCTATTAAAGGAATTCTACCTAGCCTATGAGCTTCCTAGCTGATCAAAGGAATAAAAAGTTTGTCCATAAAGGGCAAGAAGAAACATTTCAGATAATGGCCTAGAAAACCCTAAATATTTCATTAGAGGAGCTCATCTCAAGCACTGCAAAAAACTACTCAATGCTTTCAATAGCAAAGATATTTTGTAAATCGCAATTTGCTTTGGAGAGCACAATCTTAAGCCAGTAGGGAAAAAGCAGCTAGCTCAGTGAGATGCAGACAATCTCCAGCTGCACCAGGAAGGTGAAAACAGAAAAAAAATGGAACACAATTAAGCACAAGTGTTATGGCCCTCACCACATTTCTGTGGCAAGGATATAATTCCACTACATCACAATCAGGCTGCAGTTCTGTCACTCACAAGCTGACTTTCCAGTGATTCTAAGCAGGTATTAACCTCATGATATAAACAGAATTTTTCTAATATATTTCTTTTTTTTAAGAAACCATATTCAGTTACAGTATGCTACCCTATACTTGGAAGAGTACTTACAAAAAAATTTTCCACTTGGAATTCATAAGTGAACGGCTTCAAGGTAAGAGACTGTTCTTCAGAGGTAGCTGGACAAAAGCTGACTGAAAACAGGCACTGCAAGGAGAGAGGAAGCTCTTTTGTCCACTTCAATTCCCATACAAAGAATATTGATTGCTTACTGTACATGACCTGAAAGAGAATGTTTGGAGTGTTAGCTGCTTCCTTCCTCTGAGCAAGAAGGGAAAATGCACACAAGCACGTTTGTTCTGACATTGGTACAGTTTATTGAAACAAACTCAATAAATCATTAGGAAATATGCAACAAAATGACTAACAGTGAATCTTCTTCTCAATACACATATTTTTAAAAGATTTCCATTTCATTGTTAGAATCAAGTTTCAAAAGGAAACACTTAACAATCAGTGAAGTGCAATTCTGTATTTGAAAACATTTTAATCAAAAGTCAAATTTAATAAAATTACTAATATGTTCTTATATACTTTTTCTAGGCACCAAGAATGAGCAATTTATTATGTTCAGACAAGGCTGAAAGAAACTTCAGGGCTCCCCAGAGAACTTGTGGATGCCCCGTCCCTGGAAGTGTTCAAGGCCAGGTTGGATGGAGCTCTGAGCATCCTGGTCTAGTGGAAAGTCTCCTGCCAGGAAAGGGGAATGGAACTTGATCATCTTCAAATTCCCTTCCAACCCAAACCATTCTGTGATTCTCAGGTAAAAAACTGTTCTGCAACTGAACTGGTTTACATCTGTATTTAATAGGAAAACTGTCTCTACCTGATTATTTTTCCTAAAACCCAATGACAAAACTGTAAGATGAAAAAATCGAATAAACCAGCAAGTGAATTTTACCTGTTGAGATGCAGGGTTGAGAGGTACCAGCTGCAAATCTGTACACTCAGCAGAATTTTTTAGGCTGTAATCTGAAAGCTGGAAACAGAGTTCTGACAAATTCTGTACGCAGACTTGCACATATTTCCTGAAAAACAACACAGTTTTTTCAATGAAAACTGAACAGTTACATTGGAAGAGTTCATGTCCATAAAACAAGGCTCTAAAACATCCTCTTTCATATCAAACAAAACCAAAGAACTACACAGAA